CCGCTGCTTCAACCATTGAGGTCTGTTGTAATCATCGTCTGCTTGTCCCACTGCTGGTATTTTGGGAGTTACTCATGCTTAGTCTGGGTCTTCATTTTCAACCTTGCCACCAAGGGTGACCCTAGTATGAGTTTAGAATTCCCAATGGCATCATTTGCAGAGTCATTGGACCACATCAACCCCTCCACCATGACAAGGAGTGATCATCAGAAGTACGCATATAGAAACATACATGCATAGACACAGATATATATTTTACATTGACCTTCCACATATATGGAATCAAATAAATAAGATATTATGACGTCTGTAAATTTAAGCTTCTTCATTTAGACACAAGACTTATTTCAATTCTGCACTGAATAAACTAACCAAGTTTCAATGTGTATAGAAGCCTGTTAAATTAGATACGATTATTGCAATTTATGACAGAGTTTGTCAAGTTTAAATAAATTATCAATACCAACAGAGAAACTAAAAGACCAAATGATGAGATCTAAGATAATGTTAGAAAAGATAAAATTTACGTAATTATGAATCTTCTAGTCTACTAAAAAAGGCAATTGGTAATGAGTAGAACTTATACTGACAATTTATTTTTTTCCTCATGTTCCTTTCATTTAATGGGGACAAAATCTTTCCTAATTAATGGGGACAAGATTTTTTTTTACTCATGTAATGTACTTTTTATTTAATGGGGACATTTCTTTTTACTCATGTAATGTCCCTTTCATTTAATGGGACAAGATTTTTCTTATTTAATAGAGACAAGATTTTTTTTTACTCATGTAATGTCCTTTTCATTTAATGGGACAAGATTTTTTCTTATTTAATAGGGACAGGATTTTTCTTGTTTAGACATGGAGTTTTATCTTTTGTTTCTTAAAATATTTTCTATCTTAAAATAATCAACATAGTGTTGAATATTTTATATTATTTAATATGAGTTGGGATCAAATATAGATTGGAATAAGGCAGAGCCCTTTATCTGACAGAATGATAAGATAAAGAATAAATAGGAAACATTTATCTATCAGAGTTTTATTAAAGCTTCATCAAAGAATGAGATATGGAGATGAAAGAAAGAAATTCTGTTATTTTTACTTTTGTGTTGTTTGATTTTCATTGATCAATCTTGTTTCATATGCAATCAACACTTTAAACTAATCTCTATCTATAAAAGGCAGGATATGTGTGTGCATGTGTAATGAATGCATGGCTGAATTTTTGATGGATTTGCACCAAAATTTGCATGCACATGCTCCAAGTTAGCGGGAAGGCCAAGACTGACTTTGCATTTCCCAACTCCCATTCATAGTGGAAATAATCCATTTTTTCATGCTTCTACGGCAGTTTTCATGTAGTTTGTGGCCATTTTCTACTATCCAGAGTGAGAGCCTATAGCTGGCTGCCATGAATAGGCAGGAAGATTCTATTGGCCAGCGTGAGAGCCAACAGCTGACTGACATGAATGTTAACTAGCATGCTAGCATGCAAAAAAAATCGATAGCTGCATTTGTCACAAGTGGGAAAAATTTAAATCTGCATGGTACTTTACTCCAATTGGCTCATTTGCTTGCTTAAACTCAACGTTGATTCTGATTCCGCAGAACTGGGTTGGGTGTGGAAAAGTATTTGTGGTTAACATTCTTTTTTCATTTGGTTTTTCCAGTTACGAGTCCTTTTTTAAAGCTGATCATTTTATGTTCATTTTGTTTAGTTCTTTTTTCGTAACAGATTTAATGTTTAGTATAGAGCTTAGAAAAAATTCGCAGTGTGAGACGGGCAAGAAGTAAGGCATGTAGCAACATCAGCATGGCAAAGGGAACTCCTTTAAAGGCAAGGAAGGGTGTGGACTCGCGCAGAGATTCCACCTATTTTTATGTGCGTACGCGTATTGCACCCCTTCCTTTCACATTTCCAGCCGTTTGTTGCCGACATGAGGAGGTTGCTGGCTGCTGCTGATTTCAGCTAGAACAGAATTTGAAGTTTTCCCGCGCATTCTCTGACGTCACTGACGAATGTGGTTTTTCAAGTCAGTCGCTGCCTGGTTCCAGAGCAAGAAGGTCGACTCATTTATTTCGCGCCCCTTACCCATACGCGGGCCGGAATATCTAAACTAACCAAAAACTTCCTAGTGACTCCTTGGCTCATTATGCCAAATCTTTTCATGTGATTGCAACTTTCTTCAAACAACTTGTTTGAACCTTCCTCCATTTTCTACCGGAGAATGTAGAGTCTACGACACTGTCGTCATCACACTTTTAAAAAGACTAATTCATCGTTCTGCGAACAACTTGTTCAAACTTTCCTCTGTTCACTATTAGGGAGCGTAGAGTTTTTCAACACGGCCGATTGATGAACTTCACATACACCTTTTGAACTCTAACCTTTACGAACCAGTTTAAAAGAAAGAGATAACATTACACACACATTATAAAACCTTGCAGTGAGTATTTTCCTTGTTGTGTATGCATGTACCTTTTGTATAAGAAGACTCTGTTCCAGAACTTTCCTTCTGAAGAAACTTTTCCCGCCTTAGCCATTTTGATTTTCGTTTTGGTGCGGAACATTAACATTCTATTACTGACTACTTGTCACTACATTATACAATTTGCCTACTGGCTAAGAACTGCCTTTACTTTTCTGATGGTCTCCTCTGTTTCAGACAAGATTACATTTTATTAAAATAAAGTTTTATGGTTTGTTTTTCACCAGATTTGTTTTCGTCGTTTCCTCATGGCTATCTATATTTTACTATTTTTAATGCATGTGTTGAATGACTCTTTTTTCTCACTAAAGATCACACATTTATTATTTTTACTTTGCTAGTGAATTCGGTAGTCATGAGTAGTGTCTGGCACAAGGCCACCTTTTCGTAGGCCAGCACTGCATGCTACCGGGTCTGTTACAAGGGCATGCTGCTAGTGTTAGTATAATTTGTGGTGTTCTGAATTCAAAGGGAGAAGTTTCAAGAAATGAACAGATTCCAAGCCTACCAGAAAAACCATAAATATTGCTTTATGTACATAAGTGTATAAAAATTCTACTTTGTCTATGTAGGAATCAGATGATGAAACTTCAGATGGATGCATCATCTCTCTCTTGTTCTTCTTTCATGTGCATTTGATTTGTTAAACAAATTATTTGTTAGTATAATTTGTGGCATTCTGAATTCAAGGAGAGATGAAGTGTCCATAAAAAATTTCAAGAAATCAATGGATTCTAAGCCTTTCTTGAAAATTTCAATGGATGCACTGTCGCTCCTTGAATTCGAAACACCACAGATTATACTAACATTTGTTTAACAAGTTGAATGAATTTGAAACCTGATTAACCAATGAAAATCAAAGAACACAAAAATAAAAATACCAGAATTTCTTTCTTCTTTTTCTCCATGTCTCATTCTCTGATGTAGCTTTAATAAAAGTAAAACATGTTAGATTAATAAATGTTTCCTATTTTTACTTTATCTTATCATTATTTAATATAACATATAATATATATACTTTATATTTTTTAAAATATTATGATATTTTATATTATATTATAAATGATTATTTATAATAATCAATTCTTTTTGGTCTGGTGCTTCTGCTATGTATTTAAAGATTCTTGATAAAATACAAAGAATTTGTAATGTTATTGGTCCTAACCTGGAATTTCAGCTTCAGTCACTTTCCTACCACCATTACATAGTCTCATTGTATCTTTTCTATAAATATTTCCATGGTAATTGTTCTGATGAGATTCCCTATTTACTATGTAAACTTTATGAATTTAAGCACAGTACTATATTGGCAGCAAAGTTTCATTAATTCATAGATGAAATTGCTAGATGTAGCTGTAAGTTCTATGCTAACAGTTTCTTTCATTGAACTTCTCGTTGGTGAACCTCTTTTCTGGCTACTTACTTTCCAGACAACTGATGTTCAAAAATTTAAATGGAATGTCAATCATTATCTTCTGTCTTCTTAATTAATGTTATTTTATAGTTGCTCCTCCTTAATAATGTTTTTTTTCTCATATTTTTTCACACTGAATAAGCTCTTGCACCTTAGTGGCTTTGTTGCCTTACTTGGAGAGAAATAAATAAAAGAAAAAGTGATTATCTGTTTGTCTATATAATTGCATATGTCAGGGAAACTTGTGTTGAAATTCCAGTCAGTTTTGTTACATTTATGCACAAATATCCTTGGGAAATGCATGAATCAATTTCTCCCCAGCTATGGTTTACATAGTAGAACTTGTATATGGAAAACTCATTGTTATTCTCAAAAAATGATTGCCCACATCCTGGAGTGACATGGCAGAAAAAAAAAGTGAATAGATGAAAGAACAGGGACATACAAGGAATGGTAAAGTGTCAAATGTTACTTGAGCGGCAAAATCAGGAAGTTGTGGAGGACCATGATTGCCTATGTCCTAGAGTGACATGGCAGATGAAAGAAGTGAATAGATGGAAGAATAGGGACAGACAAGGAATGGTAAAGTGTCAAATGTTACTTAAGTGGCAAAATCAGGGAGTTGTGGAGGGCCATGATCACCCATGTCCTTGAGTGACATGACAAAAGAAAAAAGTGAATAGATGAAAGAACATGGACAGACAAGGTTGATAAAGTGTTAAATGTTACTTGAGCAACAAAATCAGGAAATGTGGAGAGCCATGATTGTCCACGTCCTGGAGTGACATGGCAGATAAAAGAAGTGAATAGATGAAAGAACAGGGACAGAGAGTGATGGTAAAGTGTCAAATGTTACTTGAGCAACAAAATCAGGAAGTTGGGGAAAGCCATGATGTAATAAACTCCTCTCTTAATTTTCTTTCATACAATAGTTATGCTTGTTCTGTAGTCGGTGGTCTTGAGTAAAAAAAAAGTGATATTTTGGGTAGTAAATTGCATTTTATATCAGACACTAAAAGAATTGTATATGTTCTGTATATGTCTGTCAGATTTTCAATAACAATTTTCATTGATACTGACATTTTATCCTAACAGATTGCTTACCCCGCAGCAGTGAATCCATCAGCAGCGGCCTGTCCTCTGTTCTTTCATCTAGAACAAGTAAGTAGTTTTATTTCTTCATCATCTTTATGCAAGAGTTTTCTTTTTCTTATCAACTTAGTTTTTTTTTTCTATCTTTATTTACAGTTTGTTCAATCAATTTATACAAGAGAAAAAAATCTCATTACAGTCCAGCAATATGTATTTGCTTCATCATGAAGGCAAATGTGCTATTGTAGCAGGTTTAATATGAGGCCGCACACACTTATGCATGAAAAAAAGTAAAAATTACCCAAGCCTTGTGGTATTGGTGTCAATATAATGCAAAGGTGTCAGAGTAACATACAGCTTTCCTTTTTTTTTTGTGCAATTTCCAGGGACTGGGAACATCTACATCAGTTTTCTGCCTAGTTTAGCTGAAAGATAAGGCTAAGGTTGAACACAGCCCTGAAAGATGATAATGTAAAATATTGTAGCAATAATTTAAAAAATGAAGATGAAAATAATGCTGGTTAAAAATTAATAATAAGGGTTAACAATGTTGCATCTAATAAAAAATGAAGATGAAAGTAAATCCTAGTCAAAAATTAATAATAATGGCTGACAATGCTTTGTCTAATAAAAAATGAAGATGAAAATAAATACTGGTCAAAAATGAATAATAATGGCTGACAATACCTCAATTAATGAAGATGAAAATAAAATAATTAATTTCAGATTTGTAGTTATTTTTTGATATCTTTATAACTAAATCATTTAAAAACATTTTGTTGTATGTCTGTAGATATGAATAAAAAAACTGTGACATGAATTCTATTTTATTACAGAGATAGAGATACTATATTCATTCAAGCTTTGTGAAGAGTTATTATTCTAATGGTATTTTATTTCATACAATCTGACATTAGCATAGACTTTTAGTGATTGAATTGTATTCCTCTACTTTCGCACCCATTCTTTTCTTTTTCCAACTTATTTTCATATGAAGAACCAAAAAAAGTAAAATCCAATCAAATATTCCATTCTTTAGTTCCACCAGTTCAAACTTTTACAGCTGGACATGCCCTGCTACTTCCATGGAATCAAATCACCCTCATTTCCTCTGTGTCCCAAATCTAACAAGAAAGTCACTCTTGGGCAGCTTTTTCCTAGGTACTGCCTCTTTGTGGAACAGATATCTGCATGAGTTTAGCCCTGAATATTATAATCTTAATCTCTTAAAGTCATGAGTCAATTGTCATCTTACCTCCATATCCCCATAAACTTCACTTCCTATCTCCTTTTCTTTCATTCATATCACACACCTCATTCAGCATTTCAATAGTAGCCCTCTACCTTGAGTGTCTCTTGAACCATATATTGAGTAAAATCTACTATTAAAAAATATATATGAATGTGTATTTGTCAGTATATAAAGTCCTGTTCAAACATGTTTAATGTCAGTTGTGCGATGACGTTGAGTAATAGTTTATTAGTTATGAGCACGATGTCTAAATTACTTATGAAGCAGTGATCATTGTTAGAATTTTTCGCACAAGAAGGTTGCATGCCAAACAAAATTCACATATGTATAAAAAGTAATGACTCATTGCAAGCAGTCAAACAATGCATCTGATCAATAAAGCCTGACAGGAGAATTGTTTTTTGCATAGGGAGCAGCTCAGATTGGGGCAATCAGAGAGTCGAGTTCAAATTCCAGTCAAATCCATTACATTCATTTACATACTAATATCCTTGAGAAAGGTATGAATTCTCTTCTTCTCTGCCCCAGCTATGTGTAAATAGCAGGTCAGAACAGGTTCTATAGCCTTGGATGCTAACTGGTCTACTGCAGAAAGAAATGGAAACCTACTGCAGGAAAAAAATCTTCCTCGTCAGTCATGTATCGAAAGATATATGATCGCGTGAGCATGTATCATGCATGGCACATTACTGACTGACAAGGTCACAAATGGTGAAAAGCCTCAGTTTCACAATTGTTGCCCTGACTCTATGCCCAATGCCTCTGTACAGTTCTTTGTTGAAATATTAGACTTCTAGTTATTCCTAAAATTGAAAGTGAGATTGAAAGATTAATATTTCTCAATTGATCTTGAAGATGAAGTTCACAAATGGATCAAAAGTAAACTAGAGAATTTCTTTTTAGATTAAATGAAAAAGCGTATAATGTTTAGCACTAAATAATGACTAGGTTGAAAAGTAAACTTGTAATTTTGAGGAGAAATAAATTTACTTCATTTTAATACTGGTTTCATTATCCCATCAGGTTGAAAAATTATTTTATAGGACTGAAAATTTTACTTATCAAACAAACCTTGTTATTTTGAAGGGAAATAAATTTAATTCATTTTGATACGTGTTTTATTATTCTATCAGTTTTAAAACTTGTTTTATAGGATTGGAGATCTTACTTATAAATTAAGTCTGTCATTTTTAAAAGAGATAAATTCACTTCCTTTTGATGTCAGTACCATTATTCTATCTGATCTGAAATTGTTTTATAGGATTGAACCTTACTTATAAATCTGCCCTTGTAATTTTGACGTCAAATAAATTTACTTCATTTTGCTACTAGCTTCATATGATATTAGGTCCATTTTAAACATATTGCTAAAGTTCATAGAATTCTAAACAAGTGAGCAATTGTTAAAAAAATTCATTTAAGATATTGACCTCTTTAATCGCAATGCGTCAATATTGCTGAAAAATCAATAATACGTCGCTATAATTGAACAGATATTAATTTGTTAAGCAAACTGTAACAAAAACCAGTCAAGTATTTTTTAACATACCATGTTTTTAAAAATGAGTCCAGAATCATATTAATCTAGCTCAGGAGCAACTTCATCATTCCATTTTTATCTCTACAGAAAATAACCTGAGTAAAAGTAAGAAAATTAAACCACATTTCTTTTTTAATTTATAAATATTTTCTTCATTTAGGGAACATTTGTAGCAGTCCAAAATTCTACATAAGGTTGGTTCCTTCTGGCTTATAAAGCACCAATTAAAAGTAATATTTTACTTGATAAAATAGTATAAAGGCTTTTTTTTTAATCATTTCACCCCAAGCAAGTGAATAAAGCCACTGAGATGCAAGAATTACTGAGTGTTAGAGAATACGAGAAAAAAGAAAAATATTATTAAGAAGAGAGGACAATAAAAGAACAGGAATTAAGAAAACAGAAGATAATTGACATTGTATTTAATTTTTTAAGAGTAGTTACATTATGGCAGTGGGAAAATGACTGAGGTCGAGATATGAGGTCAGCACTAATAACATTGCGGTTTCTTTGAATTTTATCAAGAAATTCTAAATACATAGTGGAAGCATCAGACCAGATATGGCAGCAATATTCACAGCATGGATGAATGGTAGACTTATAAATAAAATAGAACTTACGGTTACATCTTAGCCATTTCAACTGTAAAATGATGAGACCTTGTCGCCAATCTAGTCTTGTGCTTAAATTCATAACATCTAGGTATCATAGAGGAAAGTTCATTAGAACAATTGCCATGAATTACTTTGTATTTCATGAAAAGAAAAATCTCTTAAATTAAACTCTTTGATCATTTCAGCCAAACTTGTATGTAGTTTTTACCATAATCTTCTTTTGAGTGCCTTGTCCTGGAGTGACATGGCTGATGAAAGAAGTGAATATGTGGAAGAACAGGTACAGAGAGGGATGATAAAGTGTCAAATGTTACTTGAGCAACAAAATCATGAAGTTGTGAAGAGCCATGATTGCCCATGTCCTGGAGTGACATGACCAATGAAAGAAGTGAATTGATGAAAGAACAGAAACAGAGAGGCATGAATTCTCACAATTTTAACTTCATTTCTTATTTTATGCTTCTCTAACATGTCTGGTTAGTACATTTATAATTGTTTGAATTCCATGTTTTCTTGTTTATTATTTTTATGCCAGTCTCATGGGAGTCTGCCAAGTATTGTTTATAGGACAAATGTACAAGGGTTGTTCAAAAAGTTATAAGCCTCACCCAGAAGGAGTTGGAGAAACAAGACAGGTTTTCACTATTTTTCAATATAGTCTCCTTGGATGTCAATGCACTTGGTCCAATGATGTTTAAGTATTGCAAACCCATCATGTCCTGGTCTTCTAAAAACTCCAGATCATTGGTTCCAAAATAGCAGTCATGCAGGTGGGATTTGAGTCTAGGAAACAGGAAGAAGTCAGGTGGAGCTAAGTCTGGTGAGTAAGGGGGATGGGGTAGCAATTCAAAGCCACAGTTGGTTGCTTCAGCTACTGCCACCTGAGCAGTGTGAACCAGCATGTTATCCTGGAGCAAGCACACAACTGCCCTCAGATCCCTCTGTATTTCAACTTGATTGTTTTCTTCAGTTGTCTTAATTTTGATGCATAGTAATGTCCATTAATAGTTTTCCCTTTTCTATATAGTCTATCATGATTATGCCTTCACAATAAAGGAAAAACAGAAGCCATTACCTTGCCAACAGATACTTTCTGCTTGAACTTCATTGGGGATGGAGAACCATTGTTTCTACTGTTTGCTTTGAAGCTTTGATTCAGGTTCAAAATAGTGAACCTAGGTTTAATCTTGAGTTGCTAATCTGTAGATAGAAATTCTCAGGGTCAGCCTGGAAGTGAGTCAGAAATGTCCTGGACATGTCAACCCTTTTCAGCTTCTGCTCTGATGTCAGCATTCTTAGGACCCATCTTGAAGACAGCTTCCTCATCTCCAAAATCTTAAAACAGTATGGACTGAACCAAAACTAATGCTTATGGACTTAGCTATCTGCTGAACAGTAAGATGGCTGTCATCCAAAACCATATGGTGATTGGCATCAACTTTTTCATCAGTGGTTGAGGTATTTTGAGGATCTGACCAAGGGTCATCTTCTGTGCTGTCCCTGTCCCACTTGAATTCCACAGCCCACTTCTTCACAATTGCATAGGAAGCGGAGTCCTCAGCAAATGTCTGTATCATGTTCTCATGGATTTCATTTGGTGTCATACCTTTCATTTGTAGATACTTTATGACTGTTCAAGCCTCTGTTTTGCCCATTTTTAGATTTGTTGAAGACCCCTAACCTTTGTATGAGCCTTACCTGCACAGAAATTATGACAGAAATTTTAGTTTTTCTAGTTTTATAAGAAGTGGTAGTGTGTTTCCACAACAAAAATGTTTAGCTATGGCTCTTCTTTCTGGGTGAGGCTTAGAACTTTTCAAACAACCCTCATACTAGGACGCATAAAATGAATAACTTCCATTTGCACAGCAAAATCAATGTTTGAGTTTCTAGTTATGAAACAAATTTACAATTGGGAAGACATTGTAAATAATGAATTTATTCCTTGTTAAGAAAAGCATTTATTTGGGAGATTTATTTTTCATCACAGATCTTTCAAATGGACAATTACTTGCAACTGTTACTGGTAAAATTAAAGGCCAATGGAAAGCTACTCTGGTTTTTGATAGTGATGGAACTGTGCCAACGCCCCTAAGTTGTCATGGAATAAATGTAAGTAATTAACCTAAATTCTTTTCTTCGTTTTATTATTTTAATCATTTCATCCCAAGCAAAGCAATAAAGTCACTAAGTCACAAGGGGTTTCTTAGTGTGAAAGAATATGAAAAAAAAACATTAATGAGAAGAGGGAACAATAAAAGAACAGGAATTAAGAAGACAGAAGATAACGATTACCATTGCATTTAAATTTTTGAAGATTAAATTTGTGTGGGAAGATGAAATAAAATCAATATACAAAATAATAATAATAAAAGTGATGAAGTAAGTATAAACTTTTCTTTTGTTGTTCTAACTCAGCACAAGGCTGACTTGAGTTCGACCATTATAACCATGCTTAAATCTCCAATGATAAAGATTTTTGAAAACAGATCTTGACTTTAAATTTATGATAACTAAGGCCACCCTTTTTACTGGACAATAAATACAAGAGTAATATATATTTAAAAAAAAAAAAAAAAATTGAATCCTCAACAGTTCACCACAACAGTTATTTCTAGCAGAGTCAATTCTAAGCAACCCCCCCCCCAAAAAAAACAAACTTTTACACACAAAATGAAAATCTTTACTGTACCATCTGACTTTCCTTTAATACCCTTCTCATAAAAACAAATGTATAAGAAAAATCCAAACTATTTATACTCAGACTTTTCAATTAATTATTATTTTTAATTATTTTATACTACTAACTAATATAAAAAAATTATAATTTGTTTGTGTATGTGTGGGTGTGTGTGCATACTTCTTTTATTAAAAGCCTGCCACAATAGGTGAGAAATAAGATTTTTAAAAATTTTATTTTAAGAAATTAATTGCATTTAGAATAAATATAATAGAATTTTAATTAAAAATTTTGTATTTTCTCAGCATCTTACCCCAAAACCTAAGCAGTCATTTCAAACTAACATTCTATCATCACCTGAACAACAGAATGGCATTAATTTTGAGGCCTGCCCTTGTGGATTTAACAAAGGGTTTATTTCAAAATTCTTAAAATGTTACCAATGAAAACAGACACCTGAAGAAGGTTGGAGTGTCTTCTTTTTTTTTTATGCAATACCCCACAAGACATGGTTGATCGTGGCTCCTCACAGCTTTCCCTTTTTTGTAACTCTAAGCTATGTTTGTGTCCTTACTATTCCTCCCAATCCTTGTTCTATCATCCATTTACTTACTCATTAGGTAGGTTACTCCATGTTTCTCTCTGGCTCTCTTGCTTTCAGTATGTCTTGTGAGTGTTAAGTTCCACAAGCCCTCTTTCCTCATTATGAGTCCAAGAAATTTCAACTGTCTCTTTCCGATGCTAAGTATAAGTGTGTTGGATGGGTGAAATTAAAAAGAGGAGAGCTGTGTTCCAATTCCAGTCAGTTTAGTTACATTCAGTTATGTGTAAATATGCTTGGGAAAGGTTTGAATTCATATCCTCTCCCCCAGGTGTGTGTTAAATAGTAGGACGTGCATCTGAAAAAAATCTCTTACAATCCAAAACATGTTTTGGCTTTAAATTACCCACAAAGCGTCTTTGCAACTTAAAACATAATCAATCAATGTAAATGTCCTCTTACTTCCCATTGGTTGGAGAATACAATGGTGAAAACATTGTGATATTAATGCGTTAATATAGTGATGCTAAAAACCAAGATAAGGATACTAGTTTGATCATCCTGGGTATGATGATAAACTACATCTGGCAGTAAGGCCTCTGATCGGGATGTTTTGAAGAGCATGGAGCCACCTCTTAATTGCTGTTGTTCCAAGGTCCACCCTGACCTGGGGTGGTAGCACCTGTTTGGGTCCTAGCTATGAGCAAATAGTTAACCCCCAAACTTGGATCAAAACACTATGAAAGTATAAAAATACATTTTTACAGTAAAAATACCTGCAATACATTTTTATAGTAAAAAAATTACCAGCAATACATTTTTGTAAAAAAAAAAAAAATACCAGCAATACATTTTTAAAAAAAGAAATATTACTAGTAAAATATTTAAAAACAAAAAATTATGAGAAATACATTTAAAAAAATAAAATATTGCAAGCAATAAATTTTTGTAAATGAAATTACTAATATTCTCAAAAAGATTAAACAAGGGTTTGAGCATGCTGGCTTTGTTCAAACTGCTGATCATGCTAAATTATGCACTCTCTTCCAGAAACTGTAAAAGTCCAATCAGCATAGTGTTTAAAAATAAAACAAAAAAATGTTTTATTTTTAATTGAATTTACCCCAAGCAAGGTAGTAAAGCCACAAGGGTTTACTAGTTGTGAAAGAATTAGAAAACCAAAACATTATTAAGGAGCAAGAACAATGAAAGAGTAATCAGAAAGACAGTAGATAATGATTGACATTGCATTTAAATCTTTGGAAATCAAAGTTGACTGGAAAGCATGGAGATGGAAGAGAGTTCCACAAGCAAGAAGTGTGAGAAAAGAAACGGTTAGCATAGAATTTATGATTACATCTGGACAATTCAACTGTAAATTGATGAGACCTTGTTGGTAGTCTAGTTGCAGTATAAACCACAAATGTACCTGAGCAAGCATCTGTAACAGGGATTGGTTTGTCACCCTAGTAGAAAGGTATTCTGGGATAGAAACGGTCAGCCATTATTATAATAGAAAACATCTTTATAACAGGTTTCATGTGAGATTTTTATTTTCTAATCTAAATTACTTATCAATATTTTCTAGTGATTGAGATCAGTTTAAGTGTGTGGGTTTGAGAACTAATGTGGTGGTCTGTTAGTGTGGAAGTCACTAAAATAGGGATTTACTTGTTTACAGGTGATTATCTTTGGATAACGTCCTTAATCCAAATATACATCAATTTATGACCTTTTAAAAATGCATGCAAAGATAATTAATACAAAGATATGTATTGTATGTTCCTATCAGAAAGTTCTTGTGTTGAAAGTCTTTAAGTCAGCATATATATATATATATATATATATATATATATATATATATATATAGAGAGAGAGAGAGAGAGAGAGAGAGAGAGAGAGGGAGAGTGTTAATGTGTATGTAGGTATGTAAGTATTTCTTGATAGCAGTAATTCTTTTGACTCTGTGGGATTTTTATGTGTCTGAAAGACAGTGGATGAAATTCTTTTCAGTGGCTGGGCTGGGCTGGTCTGGTTTGGTTCATTGGATTGGGTTTGTCCCAGTTCGTTGGGTTTGTTTGTTTGTCTGCCCATGACTATCTGTCTTAACACTTTGTTTAAAGACAATAGAATTCATTCTTGAATTGTTCTTGATTTTGATTGGTGTCAGAAATGACTCATTTGACAAGCCCTTTTTCTTCACCTACATTTAGGAATGATAACCTTTTGACCTCTTTTATTTATTTTTTTTAATCTTTTTGTTTTTATTTGGTAGTTTTCTATTTTTTATTTTTGAAATAGTGATCTTTTCATTTTTCTATCACTATATAAGCTTATTTATTTGTGGATTTTCAATGGGATGCTTAAATGACCGTCAGTGACCATCTCTTCACGGCTGTGCTCTTATCTGTTCAGAACATAGTCTAGTAAGTGACTAAATAGAATAAGGCTCTCATTTTCTAATGAGACCTAAAATGGGATCCTTGTCAGACATGTATAATTCTGTGGTTGATATAGTTTCTCTGTTAGATTGGCATATTCAGTGGAATCAGAGCTCAGAAGATGGTTTCTAATGGATGAGAAGTGAAAGTCTATCAATATGGACCTATGCTGCTATGAGATTGACATAGCATCTATTGGAGAGGTATGCAATGTTCTGGAGTTGTGAAAGAAAACAAAATATATATATATTTATAGAACAGCTCACTTAGCTCACCCATTTTTGTTACTTTCTCTTGTCAGAACTCAAACAAAGAATTAAAATACTGTGCACTCTGACTAAAAAAAGAAGATGGCGGAATGAGGATAAAAATTACACAAGCATTTGTAGAGCGATTGGCCATAGTTAAATATAATTGGTAGAAATATCCAACAAACTGATAAGGTCAGTAATAAACAAGAACAAAGGAAAGAAAAGAACAGGACAAAAGTATTACTAAGCAAAGAATATATGAAAGATAAAAGTAGGCAAAGCAACAGGAATGAGACAAAAACTTTCACAAATTAAGAATGGTGTTAACATACAAAAGGGATACAGACAAGAAATCACAGTGTTCTGACTTCAAGACAAGAAAGAACAAGAATATGGTCAGTAATAAACAATAAAAGGAAATAAAAGAACAGGGAAAAAGTATTACTAAGCAAACAATATATGAAAGACAAAAGTAGGCAAAGCAACAGGGATGAGGTGAAATGGTTCACAAATTAAGAATGGTGTTAACACACAAAAGGGGTGCAGACAAGAAATCTACAAGACTTGAAAGCTGTGACTCTATACTCTTCAGGGAGTCTATGGGACTTGAGATCTGTGACCCCATATTCCTCTTGTCTTGAAGTCAGTAAGCTGTTACAGCATTCTGACTTCAAGACAAGAAAGAACAAAAATATGGTGGATGAGACTGAGAAGTGGCCAATCTTATTGGCTAGGAAGAAATCCAGCATGCATCTGTATGGTTTGTCTATCAATTTGGGGAGGAGTACGTTTATGAAGTCATTTTTATCTCAATTAGAACCAACAATATTGACACAGGTAAACTTATAAAGAGATCACGCGGAAATCCAAAAACCATTTCTTTTGTTTTCACAAAAATGGCTGTCTCAGTTTAATATAAAACTCTCTTAAGAACTTTCAAATAATTATTGGAATGTAATCCACTTAACACTTAGAATATATCCTCATTTTCGCTACATTTTTTTATTTGGTGGGTGTAGTATTTTAATTTCTAATGAGAGTGGAATGAAAACTGGTCAGTTGACTATAAATTTTTTTCTTTTCTTTTTATATTCACATTTATTGTGTCTGTAATTTTTATCATTTCTAGTTATTTTTTGTTTTTTTTTAATCTATCTGCTTTCATAGCATTGATTAAGATTTGTACTGCTAATAAGATTTTTGATTAATGAACACTTTACATACAGATATCATTCCCTCAAGTCCCAGACAATCCCTGAGATCACAGCTTCTCGTAGACTCCTTGAGGAGTATGGTGTCACCGTTCTCAAGTTTTGTAGATTTCTGAGGAGTATGGAATCAAGCTTTCAAGTCTCATAGATTCCCTGAAGAGTATGGGATCACAGTTCTCAAGTTTGGTATACTCCTTGAGGAATATGGGGTCACAGCTCTCAAGTCCCATAGACTCCCTGAAGAGTATAGAGTCACAGCTTTCAAGTCTTGTAGATTCTCTGAAGAGTATGGTGTCACTGCCTTCAAGTCTTTGAAGAGTATAGAGTCACAGCTTTCAAGTCTTGTAGATTCTCTGAAGAGTATGGTGTCACTGCCTTCAAGTCTTTGAAGAGTATAGAGTCACAGCTTTCAAGTCTTGTAGATTCTCTGAAGAGTATGGTGTCACTGCCTTCAAGTCTTTGAAGAGTATGAATCACAGCTTTCAAGTCTTGTAGATTCTCTGAAAGAGTATGGTGTCACTGCCTTCAAGTCTTTGAAGAGTATGAATCACAGCTTTCAAGTCTTGTAGATTCTCTGAAGAGTATGGTGTCACTGCCTTCAAGTCTTTGAAGAGTATGAATCACAGCTTTCAAGTCTTGTAGATTCTCTGAAGAGTATGGTGTCACTGCCTTCAAGTCTTTGAAGAGTATAGAGTCACAGCTTTCAAGTCTTGTAGATTCTCTGAAGAGTATGGTGTCACTGCCTTCAAGTCTTTGAAGAGTATAGAGTCACAGCTTTCAAGTCTTGTAGATTCTCTGAAGAGTATGGTGTCACTGCCTTCAAGTCTTTGAAGAGTATGAATCACAGCTTTCAAGTCTTGTAGATTCTCTGAAGAGTATGGTGTCACTGCCTTCAAGTCTTTGAAGAGTATGAATCACAGCTTTCAAGTCTTGTAGATTCTCTGAAGAGTATGGTGTCACTGCCTTCAAGTCTTTGAAGAGTATAGAGTCACAGCTTTCAAGTCTTGTAGATTCTCTGAAGAGTATGGTGTCACTGCCTTCAAGTCTTTGAAGAGTATGAATCACAGCTTTCAAGTCTTGTAGATTCTCTGAAGAGTATGGTGTCACTGCCTTCAAGTCTTTGAAGAGTATAGAGTCACAGCTTTCAAGTCTTGTAGATTCTCTGAAGAGTATGGTGTCACTGCCTTCAAGACTTTGAAGAGTATAGAGTCACAGCTTTCAAGTCTTGTAGATTCTCTGAAGAGTATGGTGTCACTGCCTTCAAGTCTTTGAAGAGTATAGAGTCACAGCTTTCAAGTCTTGTAGATTCTCTGAAGAGTATGGTGTCACTGCCTTCAAGTCTTTGAAGAGTATGAATCACAGCTTTCAAGTCTTGTAGATTCTCTGAAGAGTATGGTGTCACTGCCTTCATGTCTTTGAAGAGTATAGAGTCACAGCTTTCAAGTCTTGTAGATTCTCTGAAGAGTATGGTGTCACTGCCTTCAAGTCTTTGAAGAGTATAGAGTCACAGCTTTCAAGTCTTGTAGATTCTCTGAAGAGTATGGTGTCACTGCCTTCAAGTCTTTGAAGAGTATGAATCACAGCTTTCAAGTCTTGTAGATTCTCTGAAGAGTATGGTGTCACTGCCTTCAAGTCTTTGAAGAGTATGAATCACAGCTTTCAAGTCTTGTAGATTCTCTGAAGAGTATGGTGTCACTGCCTTCAAGTCTTTGAAGAGTATGAATCACAGCTTTCAAGTCTTGTAGATTCTCTGAAGAGTATGGTGTCACTGCCTTCAAGTCTTTGAAGAGTATGAATCACAGCTTTCAAGTCTTGTAGATTCTCTGAAGTGTATGGTGTCACTGCCTTCAAGTCTTTGAAGAGTATAGAATCACAGCTTTCAAGTCTTGTAGATTCTCTGAAGAGTATGGTGTCACTGCCTTCAAGTCTTTGAAGAGTATAGAGTCACAGCTTTCAAGTCTTGTAGATTCTCTGAAGAGTATGGTGTCACTGCCTTCAAGTCTTTGAAGAGTATGAATCACAGCTTTCAAGTCTTGTAGATTCTCTGAAGAGTATTGTGTCACTGCCTTCAAGTCTTTGAAGAGTATGAATCACAGCTTTCAAGTCTTGTAGATTCTCTGAAAAGCATGCAGTCACATTTTTCAAGTCTCAAAGATTCCCTGAAGAGTGTGGGGTCACAGCTTTCAAGTCTTGTAGATTCTCTGAAGAGTATGGGGCTACAGTTTTCAAGTCTTGTACATTTTCTGAAGAATATGGGGTCACAGTTTTCAAGTCTCATAGATTCCCTGAAGTGTATGGTGTCACTGCCTTCAAGTCTCATAGATTCACTGAAGTGTATGAGATCACAGCTTTGAAGTCTTGTAAATACCCTGAAGTGTATGGGGTCACAGTTTTCAAGCCTTAATAGTATGGGGTCACAGTTTTCAAGTCTCATAGATTCCCTGAAGACTATGGGGTCATAATATTCAAGTCTCATAGGTTCTCTGAATAATATGGAGTCACATCTTTCAATCTCGTAGGTTCCCTGAAGAGTATGGGGTCACAGCTCTCAAGGCCAATAGATTCCTTGAGGAGTATGGGGTCACAGCTCTTAGTATGCTAAACATTGCTGCTGTGGTTTCCATGACAAATAGTATCTTTTTCACAGGATGGAGTGGCTTGCTTTATGTCCATCTGTTTTTTTTTCTGTTTTTGATTAATCAATTCATCCCCAAACAAAGTGATAATGCCACTAAGACACAGGGCGGTCTATTGCAAGTGAAACAGAATGAAAAGACTTTAGAAGAAACCCAATCCTAAACAGGAAACAAAGAATAAGACTGTTTAAAAGACTGGGGAAGAGTGTGAACTGGATGATAGGCATAACCATGTCCTCCTATTGATGAAAAAAATAAATAGTAAGTAAATTTTCAGAGTTTAGGTGGAGATGTTAAAAGTGTAGAGTTGAAATAGGCTTTAGAAGTAACTGAAAACCCAATCCTAAGCAGGAAGGAAGGGATAAACCTCTACTACAGTTAAAAAGAGTGTTGAGGAATGTGAACTGGGTGATAGGCAAACCTATCTACTCCTATTGAGGAAAAAAATAAAATAAATAATAAATAAAATTTCAAAGTTTAGGTGGCTATCTTAGTAGTATAGATTTGAAGTAGATTTTAGAAGGAATTAAAAAAAACAGTCTTGAACAGGAAACATGGGATAAACCTCTGCTCCTGTTCAAAAGACCGAGGAGGAGTATGAACTGGATGATAAGAAAACCTTTCTATACTTATTGAGAACAAATAAATAAATAGTAAATAAAATGTCAGTGTTTAGGAGGAGATGTTAGAAGTATAAAGTTGAAGTAGACTTTCGAAGGAACTGGAAATCCAATCCTAAACAGGAAACAATGGATAAACCTCTACTCCTGTTTAAAAGGCTGTAGAGGTTTATCCCTTGTCCCCTGTTTAGGATTTTTTGAATTTAGACTTGTCGTTCTAGACTGGTTGCTCACCAAAGCTAAAGACACCAGTTTACCCTACTATTTAAACCATAGCTTGGGGAGTATAAATGTAGAAGAAACAGTGGATATAAGTAACCAGATTTGATTTTAACAGTAAATAAAATTTATTTTCTGAACATGTCTTTGTTTATTTCCAGGTAAACTACAATGAATATGCAAACATCTTGAATACGATTCTTGAAGATCCAGATATTCAGTCTTGTCTGAGTTGGCAGTTCACCATAAAACCTTTCATTGTTATCTGCATCTTGATCGTGATTTGGACCATTGCCTTCCTTCTTGTCATTTTCCTGCTCATTGATGCCCCAAAATCAAGTAAGTTATTTTGGCGATATTTTTATCTAATTATTGAATAACCTAATTATTACTGATAACTGAGGATCTCAAAAATGTTGCATCTTCAATATCAACAAAAAGAATAACATTAAATTCTTACATAGGCCATGCATGCACCACACTTTCTCTTAGGTTAACTTGTCACTTGTCAAAACTCAGTGCAAATTGTGCACATATCAATCAGCGCATCTTAACCAACATACAACTACCAACATAAGACAAATATTCAGTCAGTTATGTGCCATGCATGATACATACTTAGGCGTTCATGTATCAAAAGATGCATGAATGATGAGGTAGATTTTTTTCCTGCAGTAGGTTGCCGTTTCTTTCTGCGGTAGAGCAGTTGCCATCTAAAGCTACAGACCCCAGTCTGTCCTGCTATTTACCCATAGCTGGGGGTAGTAGAAGAGGATTCATACCTTTTCTAAGGGTATTAGTATGTAATGGATTCGATTGGAATTCAAACTCGGCTCTTTGATTTCTCAATCCAAGCTGCTATGCATTACTCCACTGTGCCTCCTAAGACAAATATTAATGTATAAAAATGCTATACAGTGCCTGATACAAGGAAAAACTCAAAATTCTGGAAGCTATTGTTATATAAAATAAACAGGCCACATTAAATAAAATATCATTCAATAGAGAAGATGGTATCTTGAAGTGTGTAGCAAATAATTAATGTGTAAAAAATATCCAACAAAAATGCACAAGTTTCAGCATTCTTTTTAGTGTGGTCTTGTTCCCTTTAATTGTTACACATGATGTCACTGTGGACTGTTTCCCATTTTCAGCTATCTATAAAATATCAGGATGTAGCCAACAGAATCTTAGTTACCAGCACTGACAATTCATTTTTCTTAATAATGACTGATGTGTTCAAAAGTACTTGAAAAAAACCAACAGACCAAACATAAACTTTGAAAAAAAAAAGGATTATTTCTGGTCATATTGCCTATTGTATGATTTCAACTTTGAATTTTATCCATAAGTTATAAAGAATTGATAATATGCTAAAACTATTCTTTTTTACATTTTCAAAATATAAATAAAATCTGATTTTTTCCAATCAAAGATAAATGATTCTTTGTTTATCTTATTTCTAGTGTTTTTTATTATTTACTAAATTCAGTGTAATTTATTTAGAACACTTTTGTAAGTGAAAAATATCTTTGTTGATATTTCATGAAAGTAAAATTATATTATATAAATATATAAGTATCTCTAATCATATTATAAAATTCTAATTATATTATGTAAATATAATATCTATAATTATAAAATCATAATTATATGAATATATAATTATCCATAATTGAAAAATTATAATTATATTATATGAATATATAATTATCTATGATTATAAATTATAATTATATTATATAAATATATTTATAATTATAAAATTATTATTAGATAAATATGTTATTATCCAAAATTAAATTATGAAATTATAATTATGTTATAAAATATAATTATATGATATTGTGTTTGGTGTATTTGGGCAGCAGTTTTCCATTTTTCCAATTGTCATGTGAAGACCCAAGAATCGATATTTAAATTTAAACTCACCTCTGTAATTTCTCAATTCCAGACATTGTCCATTGCAGCACATATATATAAGCATTAATTATTTACACTATTTAGAGTGTTTGGGCTATTGTCCTCATCTTTATTGTCATATGACGTTTTGGCTTTCCTTAGTTGATATATGTTGGAATTTCAAACTGCATCCTTTATTTAGTCCATGGGGTAGATTGTTATAGTTCCACATGCTATACCTTTTCTGGATATCTCAGTTAACCCCATTTAGAAGCTCAGTTATTTAAGTTTTTTTTTCACCTCTGCTGTGTCCAGCGATTGAACACACAAATGGGTCAAATCACTTTTGGATTACTTCAATCAACACTTTTATCCAGTGAGCCACTGTGAATATGACAATAAAGATGAGGACAACAGTCCAGACAATGTAAATAGTTACAATACCTCATCTCAGAAATATAGTCATAAGCATTAATTGTTTATATAAAATGAAGACACTTTTAAAATTAATTCCTTTTTCTTCTTGATTTTTCATTTTTAGGTGCCTTGCCCATCCGACTGAGTGTGTTCCTTTTCCCTCTTGTTTTGTTATTGGCTGGATATTCTGTACGCAAAATGCAGAAGCAGCAATGTGCCACGGTCAGATATTTTTCTCTTTCAAATATAAAACATTGTAAATCTCTCTCACTGTCTCTGTCACATTGAACTTGTGTCATGGGATGATAAATCAGGAATATGACCTGACATAAGCTAAGAGATTAGGAATAAAAGAAAATAAATGTAAGAATGAAATCATATGCATGGGTTGAGTTTACCAAATATATGTCTGCAGCCTTGGTAGTATCTGTTTACCCAAATATTTATAAAGATAACTAAGGAGATGGAAGAATGTAAATGAAGTTCTTATTTTCTAGATAGAGAACAAAGTGTAGAAATGTGTTGCATGCCTTCTCTCTGACTCTGAAAAGAAAAATTAGTGGATGTTACAAAAACTGTTTTTACTCACAAGTTACCAAAGTTACCGGTTTGATTGATTTGTTTTTACAGCTTATCAAGCCATTGTGTGCTATTTAAAACCAAAACACATTTTTGATTGTAAGAACAATTCCTTTTTTTGTGAGTGAATATTGCATTTACAACTTATTGAGGGTAATAATGATTTTTCTAGATACAAGCCCTGCTATTTAACCCATAGCTTAGGAGATGTGGACAAGATTAACGTGGACAAGATTTTTCTTATTTAGACAGGGAGTTTTATCTTTTGTTTTATATTTTCTATCTTAAAATAATCAACATCGTGTTGAATATTTTATATTATTTAATATGAGTAGGGATCAAATATAGATTGGAATAAGGCAGAGCCCTTTATCTGACAGAATGATAAGATAAAGAATAAATAGGAAACATTTATCTATCAGACTTTTATTAAAGCTTCATCAAAGAATGAGATATGGAGATGAAAGAAAGAAATTCTGTTATTTTACTTTTGTGTTGTTTGATTTTCATTGATCAATCATGTTTCATGTGCAATCAACACTTTAAACTAATGTTAGTATAATTTGTGGTGTTCTGAATTCAAAGAGAGAAGTTTCAAGAAATGAACAGATTCCAGACCTACCTGAAAAACCATAAATATTGTTTTGTTCTTGTTTCATGTGGAAAACCTTATTTTCCTTTTTAGCATAGATCTGACTTTCAATTGGTTAATCTAGACATACCCACAAGTATATTTTTATTTTTGACCTTATGCCCACACCCTTAAATTCTGAAAAGAGGTAATGATTTGTTTTAGATTTCCCAAATAAATCATTTTTATCACTAGTTATCTACTATTGCCTGATGAAATACAATCATAGTATTGAAACATGAAAGGTTTTGTGTAGCGGTGTAAAATGTTTTTATTATAATATATTATGATGAAAATATTATAATATATTTATATATATATATAAGTGTGAATATAAACTAAATAATGAGATATTAGCAACTGTATGTGTATGCAACAGTGTGTATACACAGATAAGCAAATAAATATTTATTTAATTTAATTTATGCTACAAACAAAACAGTGCTCAATGTAGTTAAACAGAGCTATGAAGAATATATTAATAAATACACATATACCTACATAGGTATATATATATATATATATATATATATATAATTTATTTACTAATTTTTACCCCTATACAAGGCTCACACAAATAAGAATAAGAGGTAAGAAATGCAGTTTATGAGAATATGTGGTAAAACAAAACAGTTAACCCTAGACTTGAACAGGTTAAGAATGTAGTGGTTAGGAAAACATTCTTTTGGGAGTCAGTTCCACGAAGAAGCAGTTCATGGGAAGAAGCTGTTCAAGTAGAACTTACTTCTCACTAATGGGATATGAAGTGTGGCTTAGTGTGAGGGTTAAAGTTGGTGGAACTAAAGAATGTAGCTTGTCTGAACATTTTACATGGATATAGCAACAGAGTAGAGAGGAGCTTGCAACCTTTTGTTTTTGGGAAAGGGAATGTAAAGTGGAAAATAATTCATCACTCACAAGGTTGCATAGATGCTTTCGAATTCTGTCAAGACTGGAAAGTGAAGACTGGGCAGATCCAGCCCATTTTATATATATATATATATATATAATAAAATAATAATCGCCCCTGAATGTATAGAACATGCAAAAAATCAATGCACACAATGCTCAATGTCCACAAGTGCAGAGCAAACATATATTAACTGAAAGAAACTTGCACTGCTTAGTGATTGGCAATCAGTGATACTGTTTATATTACAAATACTCTGTCCCTGATGTCAAGCTTTCTTCCTTTCTCCATAAATAGAAATTTTTAACAATATAATTATTATATATATATATTTGTGCATGTAACACTTTTCACAGTGTGCACATGTAAATACTCTGATCCGAGGCAGAGTACCAAAGAGCAACATTTTGATCAGAAAACAGAAGTGCCAATCGATACATAAATGATATTATCATTTTTTTATGGGTACTATCTTAATATCACATAAGCCATAAACAACTGAATTTTATAAAAGAAATTAAATCTATCTAGAGCTCCTTGATAAAATCCAAAGAAGAATTAGTAATATTATTAGCCCTGATCTGGCATCTCAGCTTCACTTTCTCACTGCCATACAGTTTACTATCTTTGCTTTTTTTTTTAAATACTTTCATGGAAATTGTTCAGATGAGCTCTTTGCTATGGTGCCTAGACTCTTGAAATTTAAGTGCAGTACTAGACTAGTGATGAGGTTTCACCAATTTACAGTTGAGCTCACTCGATGTAATTATAAATTCTATGCTAACAGTTTCTTCTCTCACACTTCTGGCTTGTGGAACTCCCTTCAGGCTACATTCTTTCCAGCCAACTTTAATCTGCAAAAATTTAAATACAATGTCAATCACTATCTACCGTCATCCAGATTACTCTTCCTCTCTGTTCTCACTCCTTAGCAATGTTACTGTTTCTAATTCTTCCACACTCTTTACTACCTTGCTTGGGTTGAACTCAAATAAAAAAAAGAAAATTAATAATTTTTATTTTTTTCAGATTGCCTTACAAATGTTGAAGAAATGTGTTCATATCAACCAACTGTTATATCAACTTGACAGGCCTGTTCTACTCACGGCGTCACATAATGAAGGCCACAAATTCTTTGTATCCTTTTAAAACCCAAGTTTAAAAATAAAAATTACATACTATGTTAATAGTAATGTTAATATTAGCCATTTCCTTATAAGGAAACATTTGGCATTCATTGAATGAGCAGTCAGTGCTACCGTCAATTAAAATTTATACAATTGTTCTATTAAAACAGTCTTTCAGGAAAATAGGTTTCTCAAGTTCAGTAGTTGTTATTTCTCTTTCCAGTATTGATGGGGGGTTTCCTTCCTAACCTTTTGTTTGAAGTAGTGTGGAATGTCAACATCTTGATTATGTTATACTCTGCTTCAAATTAGATCACTTTCTGATTCACTCTACATCAACACCTGTCAGCTGCATATGAATGCTAACAAAGCAAAACTAAAAATAAAAACACACTGCAGAGTCTTTCTCTGGAATCACTATTAGCTTTTTCATTACATTCTCCCTCATCTTGTCCACAGGCTAAAATCTTCTTCTTTTCAATAACAATCTTTATTTAGATTTGAGGAAAGTCAAATTTTACGAGGAATTGAACAATAGGAAGTGGAAATTTTGACAGATTTGGAGGACCTCTTGTTTTACCAAAGGACATAAGACATAAAGCATGTGCTTTTTTTATATCATGATGCATTTGACTATCTTATAATTAAAAATAGTCCCTTTTTCTTACTTGACTAATTTATTTAATAGTTCTTTAAGTTTTCTTTCTTATTCTACCATCATGTTGTGTAGCTTATGTTACTGAGGTTATGTTGGCCAATGGCAATGGTAATATTAGCTGTTTCCTTATAAGGAAACATTTGGCATTCATTGATCAAGCAGCCAATACTACTTTTGGTTGAAATTTATAAAATCCTTCTCTTAAAGCAACATTTCAGGAAAGTGACTTTTTCAAGCCCAGAAGCTGTTATTGCTCTTTTCAGTATTGATGGGGATTTCCTTCCTAACCTTTTGTTTGAAGTAGTGTGGAATGTCAAAATTTTGATTATATTATACACTGTTTCAAATTGGGTCTCTTTCTGATTCACACTACATCAACACCTGTCAGTCAGACATAAATGCTAACAAAGCAAAAATAAAAATAAAATAGTTGCTCTCTGCACAGGGGCTCTGAGCATCACATTTGACTCACAAGACATATCTCCTCTAAAAAAATATAAAATACAATATAAAAGAAGCCAATCATGAACATTGCCACTAAAGTAAAAGCATTGGAAAAAATGTTGAGTAATGATGCACCCTGTCTTCTTTTATGGATGCTGTTCATGACACTGTAAGCAGTTGCACTGATCAAAAGCATTGCAAAAAATGTTGAGTAATGATGCACCCTGTCTTCTTTTATGGATGCTGTTCATGACACTGTAAGCAGTTGCACTGATCAAAAGCATTGCAAAAAATGTTGAGTAATGATGCACCCTGTCTTCTTTTATGGATGCTGTTCATGACACTGTAAGCAGTTGCACTGAGCAAAAGCATTGCAAAAAGTAACATTACAACCAGTGAGCTTAGTCATATGATTCAACAAACACATCAATTTCATGACCTACTGACTCTCCCTTTCCGCCAAGTTGCTTTCCTCATTCACAATGAAATATTCTACCTTGATCTTATATATTGGCAATATAAAGAATTTTATCTTAACAATTCTTGTCTTCTTTTCTTTCACTTTACCAGTTATACTTGTTTTTTCATTTGTTCTCTCATGCTGCCATATAAACGTTTATGACAATTATATCATTATTTTCTCTTTGAGTTACATGTGCTATTCATTTTAGTTGTTATTGCTGTTGCAAGTTCTCAAGTCATGTGGTTTCTGCTGTTTGGTAGTTTATTATTTTTGCTTGTGATTCTGTAGCACCAGTTCATGAGGTATGAAGAAGGATGTCCTCATTAAGACCTAAATGAGTCACTTACTTAAAGCCGTTTTTAACTATTGATCTGAAGAAGTGTTTGCATAATGATGACAGGCGCCATCAGAGGTGACAATACCTCAGTACCTGTGTACTGTCTGGGTCATATTATAGTTTCATGAATTTGGTGACATAGTAATTGCAAGTTCAATCCCTGGGCTGGGCAGTTCAGGCTTAGACCTCGTCAAAACAGGGTGAGAAATAATTGGACAGTACTAAATACGAACAAGACAAGATATCCATGGACAGTGGAACAACAACAATCTACCTTTGAAGATTAAATAAAGGGCTCAGTTTGAAATTTCCTGGAGGTCATCTGGATTGACAAGCACCTGAAGAAGGCTGAAGAGCGCAATAGCTGAAATGTGCTAATGTTATGGGACCTTACCTATAATAACATAATGAACTATTCCATATGTAATAAATACTGTGCCTCAAGAGGAAGCAGGGAGTTCAGTCTGAAGTCTGGAGTGAAGTCCATCAGGAGCCTGTCAGTCAGAGCGAGTCAGTCAGTCAGTCGAGTCAGAGGCAGTCCGAAACAGAGTCACATTCAGACAATTACTACAAGACATTGGAATAGTGATACTGGTTGAGACGACATGGTTCTCCCTACTAAACCTGATTGTTCTTACTAACACATTCTACTTCTCTGTATATATTACTGTTTGTAATATATCTGTGTTATTCCATATCTCTGCTTGAGTTCTTCTTTATTGGTTCTAACTTGGACCATCATCGTGGTACAAGGACCTGGACCATAACAGATAACAACAACAAAGATGAGGACAATAATCTGGATGTAAATAATGATAACTCCTCTTCCCAGAAATTCAGACAGAAGGCCATCAGGTGATAACAACAACAAAGATGAGGACAATAATCTGGATGTAAATAATGATAAATTATCATCCCAGAAATTCAGACAGAAATTAATTTTTTATTAGTATATCATTTCTTATTTTTAGTATGAAACATAAAACAATAAAAATACATTGTGTAATATTATGGACACTGATGTACAAGAGGAAGAGGTGGTTTATCTCAATATCAAGTGTTGGACCAGCAGATAGTTCCTTTTGAAGTTTGGTCTCCTAAGTGACATTCACTGTGACTGAAGGGTAATGTGGAAGTAAAGAGATGGATTAGGGGTTTTGGGTGTTCAAGTGACAACCAAACAGTAAATAGGGTATATATATATATATATATATATAGATGCTGGTTTATATTAACAGTCATAGTTGCAATTGGGTAGAGTTCTAGTCTGTCATTGGTGGACAGATGGGTCTGTAAAGCAGTTTTGAAGCCTCCTTTTTGTATTGCAATCCATCATATTGGGATGAGTACATGGAGAGGTGATGGTAGGGGCAAAAGCTGACATAGCAGAAGTTGTCTCATGTATTATCTACCTACCTACCCAGGTGAAGCCCTCAATAAAACATTGACATATAATGGTTTGTGTTCTTATTTCTTGATGTGGTGTTTGTCCTTCATTGTGTTACCTTGTGACAATTGGAATGCAATGTGGGATAATCATTGGCTGGTTGGTGGAAAGCCTTGGATTGATTGATTGATTTGTTTGTTTAACGGCATATCAACTCCTTATGGGTCATTTAATAATTTAATGTCTAAATTTAATTTTCTTGGTAGCTTTGAAGTAATAAAAATATGATTTATGTTATTCTGCTTTCACAATTGAATACATGGTAGATGATACTTAGCTTTTGTGTCTATACATGTTTGTGTGGGCATGATTACTAGAGGAAGTGATATGTGTTTTATATTGTAGTTTTGTTGAAGTTATATTTTGGAAGACAGTTTGATTTAGGAAATTGTCGGATATTATATGGATTAATGTTATAAAACAAATGTTGGCTGTTTGGTTGGTTTTCTATAGAAGCATATCAACCTCTATGGGATATTTAATGCTAAAATGTAAATAATCTGAACACAATTTTATAGCTTCAAGTAAATATATATTTTGAATGCAATTGTATACTTTCAACTTCAGGACTAATTTACATAGTAAGGTATTTTGAGATATAGGACAAGTGAAAAGGTTGCATCAGAACAAATTGTAAATTCATATCAAACAACAGATGTTTTTATTTAATATTTTCGATATCGCATATTAGTTTCATGTTATTTATTACAATTTTGTAATATTGTTGTTTTTATTAACCTTAATTATGTACAGATTAATTTTATTTATTTTGATATTGGTGATTGTGTGGTAAGTAAAAGCAAAAATAATATTTTTCTTGAAGAGAATAGACTAGTATGCAGTGAATAAATATATATATATATATATATATATATATATATATATATATATATATATATATATATTACATGAATCATTCCTACAAACTGCACCATATACTTGATATATATATATATATATATATATAGCTTTGAAGAAAGTGGACGTCATATCTAAGGCACCTTTCGGCCAACGCTTTGTCAAAGATATTCGTTGGCAATATTTAATATAAATGAATACAAAGACAACTTAATGAACTGACTGAGGAGGGAAAGGTGGAACTCAACTAAAAACAATTTTAATTATATAAATTATATATGAAAATATATGATTAGTACAATGCTATGACAGTCCATATATGGGGATTACTGGTTTAAAAAAAAAATGTATTTACAATAGACGGGATTTATATTTTATATTTAAAATCAGCAGGGATGAATGTTTGTTTTATTTTAAAAATATGCATTAAAGTAAACAAACCTGAAACTTTAAAAAAATATTTATTTTGTATTAACCCTAGAACACTAACCATCAATTAAAGTTACACCACTACTAACCATGGGTATATCATACCCGATTTTGAAAATATCAAAAAAATATTAAATATAAATCTTTATTTGAAATATTTTACATGCAGTCATTTCAAACTTTGTACTTTGAGTTAACATTAATAGGAACTGAAAAACATAATATTTAGGTAAGAAAATCAGGTACTAAAAAATTGTAATTAAAAATAGGAAAATTTGTGCTAGGTACTATGTACCCATGGTTAGTGTTCTAGGGTTAAGATAGATGGTATTTATGTTTTATATTTAAAAGCCAGTTTTTGCCTGATAATGTGTGGGTGTGTGAGTAAAGTTTAATGAGAATCCAATGAAATAGTAAATATTTAAGACATTTTTGAAAAATCTTTAGCTTGACACGTTTCACTGTTGATCTATCTTCATCAGAAAATGAATTTTATTTCCCCCCAAAATTGTGAAATAAAATTTTTTCTCTAATGATGCCAGATCATTGTAATTTAAGAAAATATCATACAATTTCCAAGTAATCAGTCTGATAATAGTGTAATTGATGTTTCCCAATACATTATTTTTAATTTACAATATTATAAGATTGCTTTGACAAATCTTACTTTTTCTTTTTCTTACAGGCAAATATACATTCATATTTAGATGAACTCCATAGTGATGAATCAGAGAAATTGATGGCCCTCATTGAATTTTATACTATGGATGCATTTTATCTGACACAGGTAATGCATTTTGTCTTCTTTAATTCTGTCTCATTTTCTCATTTTACCTGACACAGGTAATGCATTTTGTCTTCTTTAATTCTGTCTCATTTTCTCATTTTACCTGACACAGGTAATGCATTTTGTCTTTTTCAACTCTACCCTGTTTTTTTTTTCTTTTTACCTAGCTTCTTTAAATATTTTCTTGCTAGTCAACGTACTTTTCTTGCTTATTAATCATTTTAATTTTTCTAGTGTGAAACTGACTCCCCAGGAGGTGCTTCCCTGATCACAACAATATTAACCTCTTCAAGTTAAGGATCAAGCATTATCTACACTACATTTTTTTTAATTAAATTTACCCCAAGCAAGGCAGTAAAAAATCTAGGAAACAAGGGGTTATCAGGTGTGAAAGAATTAGAAAACAGAAACATTATTAAGGAGCAAGAACAATAGATGTGTAATCAGGAAGATGATAGATAACAATTGACATTGCATTTAAATTTTTGAAGATCAAAGTTGGCTGGAAAGCATGGCTCCTCAAAATATGCAACCTTTTCCTGTTTTGTCTCTATATGCTCTTAAAACATCTCCATCTGGTAACCCTCTGCCTTGAGTGGCACTTAGGCCTTGTATTGAGTGAACAAAATTACTTTTTGTGATATTTTTAAAGTCAGTCTTTTTTGCTTCTATCAGTGTTTTCAATTTTGTTCAAGCATGTTGCAGTAGGTGCATTCTGAGATCACATCAGGAAGTCACCAAATGTTGCTGTAGGTGCATGTTGAGATCACATCGTGGTCACCAAGTATTGCAGGCACTGTTTCTAGTTTGACCAAAAGCAGTGACAACAATATTTTGCACAAGTAAATGATGAGTGTAAGAAAATGAAGTAATATTTTATATTTTTAGTTTTTTATATAAGTGAGTAAAAAGAGAAAGAATACATGAGTATGGATGCAAATGAAGAAAGACATTGCAAATTAGGAATCATGTGGGAGATGTGTGTGTGTGGTGGGGTTGTGAATAAAGTTCAGTCACTGAGGGGAAAAATGTCTCCATGCTCAAGAACAAGATCCTGTGGATGTGGTCACTACATTATATTGGACGGAAAGGAATAAGAAGAGGATAGAGACAGGAAGTGCCCCACTTTTTTTAATATTTTATATTTTGGTTTTTATATAACTGAGAAAAAAAGAGAAAAAGGAATTATGTGGGTGATATATGCATGTATTTGTGTGTATGTGAAAAAGTTCAATTACTAAGGAGAAAAATATCCCCATGCTCAAAGAGATCCCAATTGGTGTTGTCACATGCTAGGAGGAAAAGAGAGAAAAAAAACAGGAAGTGTCCAGTTTTTATAGCTGCTTGATAGCACCCTCTAGCAACTTCTTGACAAAACTATCGAAGTTATGTATGGGTAACCAACAAATCTTTTCAGAAATTCGACTGCCATATTACCATACATAATCTAAAGACTCATTCTTTTCCAAATACTCTGTATTTTAAATGTAAATTTTGATTGCTAATTTTTACATTACACTGTAATATAAAAAAATTAAACTAACATAAATTTATTTTTCAAATGAATTAATAATGTCATTTAAAATAAAATTTAAAATCGAAGTAATTAATGTCACATCTAGTCTGGTACTCCAGCTACTTATTTAGAAATTCTTGATAAAATAAAAGAATCTGCAATGTTACCTGGCATCTCAGCTTCAGGCACTTTCCCACCACTTTAATGTAGCTTCCCTCTGCCTTTTCTATAAATACTTTCATAGTAATTGTTCTGATTACCTTTCCTCTATGATACCTAGACTCTATGAATTTAAGCTCAGTACTAGATTGGCAGCTAGGTCTCATTTTTTACAGTTGAAATGGCTAGATGTAACCCTAAGTTCTATGCTATCAGTTACTTCTATTGCAATTTTCGCTTGTGAAGCTCTCTTACATCTTTTTGCTTTCCAGTCATATATGGAATTTAAAGGTTACATGTTGGGTGTATTTTAGGTGTGTGTGTGTGTGTGTGTGTGTGTGTGTTCACATATGATAAACAAAGAAGAAGCATTCAAAAACTTGGGTTTCTACCATGGATTATTTATTCTTTTTTTTTTTTATATAAACTGTTTTCAATGTCTCTTGGGTATGTCCATTTTCTTTTTCTGGTCCAGAAGTTAGAGTAAGTAAGTATAAGCATTGTATTAATGATCGAGTTCAAGTCAGCCTTGTGTAGAGTTGGGACAGCCAAAAAAAAGGTTTGTACTCACTTAATCGCTGAAGTATCTGATAGTCAAGCTCAAGTCAGCCTTGTGCTTATATGAAAAGAAAAGGTTGATTTACTTCATAGGTGGAGGTTTTGGAAGACATGTGTGAATGCCATGCATTGGAAAGTGGAAAGAGAATTCAGTTGACACTGGACCAGAGAAATGAACATGCTCCCAGCTGGGACGTTCTTGTCTATGTACTGCTACATCTTGGAGCATCTGGAAAAAAGATGAAGGAAATGTTTATCTTTCTATAGACTTAAACAACACCACCTAATGGGCGTTTGGTGAAGCTAAGTGAGGTAATAAAATTTTTGGTTCCTTTATTACTAGCATCATGGGAAAATATATTTCTTTTTCTTTTTTTTATTCATTATTATTAATTTGTTTATTGATTTTATTTAATTTTCCCACACAACATTAATCTTCAAAAATTTAAATGTAATGTCAATTGTTATCTGCTGTCTCCTTGATTCTTGTTCTTGTCTTGTTCTCTCTCTTTAATATTTTCTTTTTTTATATTATCTCATATTCTGTAAAACCTTGTGTCTTAGTGGCTTTATTGCCTTGCTTGGAGTGAAATGATTTTTTAAAAAATATTTTTTTTCTATTATTATTTATTCAATATGTTACCTTATATTCATATATTAATTATATAATGATTCATAACAGTTCACATATAATTAAAAAAAAATTAAGAATGATAAGATTAGATAAAATTTTATCATGAAAAAGAGAGAATAAAATATTATTTGTGAAACTCTCTTCTGACTTCTTGCTTTCCAGTCAAATTTGATCTTTAAAAATTTAAATACAGTGTCAATTGTTATTTTTTGTCTTCTTAAACCTTGTTCTTTTATTGTCCTCTCTCCTAAATAATGTTTTTCTTTTTCTCATATTCTCTTACACTCACTAACAATTTGTATTTTAGTGGCTTTATTGTCTTGCTTGGGGTGAAATGATTTTAAAAAAAATCTATTGTCATGTCCATAAAAAAATACATAAATAAAAAAATAATTATACTGTCATAGTGTTGTGTCCATAAAAAATAAATAAAAATTAATTATACTGTCAAAAATAATTATAATAAAATAATTATACCAATTATTATTATCATTAATTCACTCTTTCTAAACCAATGAGAATTGAACCCACTTTTCTCCTCTATGCATCTAACATGTGCATCAACAAAAATTTCATCTCCTTTTCCTTTTCAGGTCATAATAGTAACATTTATATTATAATACTCAACAAAAATTCAAGATAAGAAAACCCCAGACATTTCTTGTATTTTTTCAACTAAATTATGTGGACACTCATTACCCGCATCTATAAAAAACATACTACAAAGACTGTATACACTTTGCTTATTCTTTATTGTATCATTCTGTTAGATTACAATCCATAGTTGATCTACATTTGACCCCAGACTCACATTTACTCAGTATTACTGTCTCTCATGTCTCCAACACCACATAACAACTGGATAAGAAATAAGACTCGATTTTTTTTGTTTCCACGTTTTACTGTTTCTCATTTTTACAAGTATTTTTGTATATATAAATGTTAGAGGATTTATAATTATTTACTCAGTGTTATAACCCCCCCACATCATATATTGTTTCTATTTTGATTTCTTTTCAAAATATATCATAAATATTTATAACATTTCATGCCATATATTTCCGTATATAAGCAACCTTTAGATAAGATGTGGTAAAAAAATATAGCAAATTTTCACGAATTTGTCCTCTACCTGTAGTATAAGATGATTGCTCATTGATTATATAAAGATGATGCTATTGGAAATGTTGTTACTTACTGTCCTTAGCAATTCAAAATAAATAAAATAACAAAGCCGATTCTCTATCATGTTTTTCCTACACATATCCCCCAAAAGGGAAACCATTGTTTTGTTTACATTGTTTGCAAATACTGATTCTTCTTCTTCCTCTTCATTTCCTATATCTCAACAGTTACAAACAGCCTGGTTTACTAATGGCCATTTACTTATACTTCATTGGCAATCACAAAATAATAATGAATTTACAATGAGAAATTAATATTATGTTATCCTAAATATTATTATGGTCATAATTAACACTATTATGATGATTATTGAAAGTTTAGCTAAAGATAAAGGTTGCTGTGAATGCAATCAAAACTTGATGTTTACATTTTCTCAGCTGAGCTTGCATGGATACAACTTGATTTCATTGATATAGAATTATTCCTCAAATACGCAATGAAATTATGCCAGTAATATATAAGGTACAAATAGTTTTATTACTTTTATTATCAGTTTATTTGATAATGTGAATTTTTTCATGTATGTTATTGGTTATTGTGTCAAGATTAGCCTACTAACAAACATCACTCAGAATTTAAGGTTTTTTTTTTTTTAGAATTGTAGTATAAAATGAACCTCAACTTTTATGGATGAGTTTTGAGATTTAAATGTTGTTTTATATGTGGAAATATGCGGTAATCAAATTAAGAAGAATAAGATTAAATCATATGAATAAAGACAGAAGGAAAATATATATCCTTAAATTTTATCATAAAAAAGCGAAAATAAAATAATAAAAGCAATGTCTATTTTTTTTGTCTTTTCTAGGGTACTTTAGCTGAAAGAATTGTTGTGATGTTGGCTGCACCTTATTCTTTGCAACTTTTGCACCGTCTCCTACTGAAGCCCCATCATGAGCATCACATCAGTGGACACATGTGTTTATGCCAGTATACAGAGGAATTCACAGCAACTTACTTTGCGTCAATCAAAACTGCCGGAGGAACAGCAATGCTTAGTTCATTATTTTCAAAGTACCTGAACTGTTCTCTACGCAAAAACAGTATGCACACAGTCAGGGAGATATTGCGGATTGACGAACGGCATTAAAGCAGATAAACAACTCAATTACTTACATGATTGCATGAAAGAAACTTACATTTGAGGCATGGGAAAATAAGCATTTTTCTCATCAGAAATTTTGCTGGATTTCCATGAGAGAACATAAGATATTTCATTGTTCTGTTCATCTACTAATATCAAGATTTATTTTGATACATTCTAATTTGTGCATATATGCACTAACACTGATATGTGCAAATGCACGGACACACATTCATGCACAGACACACATACATGCACATATTGGTAATAAATTTAAATTTGTTATTTAAAAAGAAGACTTATCCAGGAAAGTAAATATAAATAATATTTGTCTATAAATAATCATAACAACATTATGCATTTAATTAGTATTTATTTCATTTCATCCATTTTAAAAATATGCAAACAACAAGAGTAAAACTCATAACAAATTAAAGAAAAATTGGCAAAAAACAAAGTATCAAAAAGACATTTTTTTCCCTTGACACCACTATTATTTTAACTACCTTCACTTCTCAGCAATGTTTACTGTTTTAAAAAGCAATGATTAGAGAGGTAATAAAGCCTAAACATATGAAATTAGCAAGCAATAACTGAACACTACTAAATAAAATAAGAACTAGACAATATCCTTTGACATGAGCAATAGCGTACCGCTAAAACTCTTGGTAATCAGAGATTGGTAGCTGATCTCTCTTCTGATCTAATACAAACTACTTAGAGGGGAAAAAACTGGCTGATTACATTCAATCCCTTGAAAACCAAACTAGTTAACTCCCACCATTGTTGATTGGGCCCCAAACTACCAGCAGTCATGATGAATGGATGTCCCTTTGAAGAGGCAGTGTGAATTGAGATACTATGGGCCTTAGACACACACCTGACCTCAAGTGGAACTCGTACATATGAGTCATTGCTAATGATGCAGGTAAAATGGTTGATTCCTTTACCGCTCCAGTAAGTATCTGACTCCTCCTGCTATCCTCTACCTTTACAAGTGCCAGATCAGGCCATGAATGGAGTACTGTTGTTATATTTGGATGGGTGCTGCACAGACCACACTCTCCAGCCTTGAGAGAGTCCAAAAGTTTCTCTGAGTTCTTGTAGGTAATGAATTATTTTCCATCCTCCAGCCTCTTTCCCACAGTTGGGATGTGGCAAGCCTCTTGCTTCTCTACTACTAATTTCCTGGAAAGTGGCTGGATGCATTCTTTGGTTCCACTAGACTTAACCTTTTCAGCAAGGACCTGCCATGCCACCTACATTATAGCAAACCACCCACATGCCTTCCCTATTCCATTAGTGAGAAGTAAGTTCCACTCAAACAGCTTCTTCCTGTGAACTGCTACTCTGTAGAACAGACTCCCAAGAGGATATTTTCCCAATCACTATGGTCTTGTTCAAGTTTAGGGTTAACTATTACCTTCCCCTCCTATTCATACAAACTGCTTCCTAACGTAATCCTCTACCTCAAGTGGCCCCCAGGCCTTGTGCAGGGGGGATCTTACTGAAAAAAAAACAAAGAAAAGTGGAACAAGAATTGTCTACCCCTATAAATTAAATAAAGGGTTCAGTTCAGAATTACCTGAAATTAATCTGTAGATTACCCAAATTGATATACACCTAAGAAAGCCTGGAGAGTGCAACAGCCAAAACTTTGTGATAACAACAAATATAAATACTGTAAATATGAAAGTGAATTCATATATTTTTCTTGTTCTTGAGAATTTACAACAAAAAAAAGAAAAAAGAAAGAAAAGTGGAACAAGATCTGTCTACCCACTATAAATTAAATAAAGGGTTCAGTTAAGAATTCTCTGTAGATTACCCAGATTGATATACACCTGAGGAAGACCAGAGGGTACACCAGCCAAAACATGTGATAACAACAACAAAGATGAGGACAACAGTTTGAATATAAATACTGTAAATATGAAAGTGAATTCATATATTTTTCTTGTTCTTGAGAATTTACAACAAAAATAATAAACACTATTTATTTAATTGATTTTTTTTTGGAATGATTGGCAAAACATTAACAAATTGCCAATTGATTCAAATTTTATAAAATGATAAATAGTAAGGATTTCCATAGAGTTTGTTCACAAATTTTAATAATTTAGTAAATGTTTATAAATTTATGAATGAAAAATTGTTTTCATATTTATTTTGCTATAAATTCGTAAATGATAAATATTTCATGGCATTTATTATTTTTTAGAATGTTGTAAATAAATAATCTAATAAATAGTGTTTAATATTTTTGTGAAAATTCTCAAGAAAAAAAAAATGTATAAATTCACCTTCATCATGTTTAAATTTTATTACAATTTCCATCATTGCGTTCTAAAACAACAAACATTGCTGTGGATGGAAGGTAGTTAAAATAATAATGATGTCAATGGTAAAAAATATCCTTTTGACACAGTTTTTTTGCAAGTATAAAGATCCAAGTTTGCCGAAAAATTATTGTTAAAAAAAAATGAAACTGATAAAATCTTTTAAAAGAATGTTTTATGGACATCAAATTCTGATGCAAGCTCTTTTCACCTGACTGTTACATATAAGCACAAAAGCTCTATTATATATATTCATTCATTTTTATAACTATTATCATCTTTTACATTAGACCTATGTTGTTGATAATAAAAAAATTCTATCTCATGCTGTTTCATTATTTCTTTTATATCAGAATATTATTAAAATGAATAAATAACAGTTATACTATAAATTATGCATTTAAGTTATTCCTGGAGAGTCGAGTTCCAATTCCTATTGCATTGGTTATATTCACTTACGTGCAAATATCTTTGGGAAAGGTATGAATCCACATCTCATCCCCCAGCTATGGATTAAGACTTGTATCACTAAACCATTATTATTTCAAACAAAATTCTTACAAGCTAATATTATTTTCTGGTTTTAAATTACCTGCAAAAGGTTTATAAGCTGTAGAAAATGAATGAATGAATCAATTATTCCCTGAATTGAATCTTATTCACTTAAATTGATTAGATTAGGTGGTGAAAGGTGTAAGGGCAGACAACTGTTTTCGTTTTTTTTTTTTTTTTTGGAAAAATTAAGAAAATTCATTGCGCATGCGTCAGTACTAAGCAAGTTTTTTTTTTTTTTTTCCCTCTCTGATGAGGGCGAAAGGTAAACGTCAAGGCAATAGACTTTCTTTTTCTTTTTTCTTCTTCCAATTCTCCAGAGATGGTCTCTTCAGCAGCCAGCATAGTAGAATCCTGTAAAGTAAATGAATGCTTAAAAAGTCTTCCAATATGCATGTAAGGATGGATATTTTCATTATTTATTTTTGCTTTTGCTTATTAGGGTCACCGTCAACTTTTTACTTTATTCGAATTTTTTAGGAAAATTTGTGAATTTTTAATTTTTATTTGCTTTGAAATAATGAATATGACTTTATTTTAGTTAGTTTCATTCACCAGTGACCGAATCCTTAGATAGGAAATCTAGGTAATTTGATTGGAATATTCAACAAGGTTGCAAGATGTTGGACAGATATGGATTGATTGATTATTGAAAAGTTTAAAAAAAAAAAAATAAAATAAAGGACATGGTGAAACTTTAATGAAACATCACAAGAATAAGGATGCTCGTTTTTATTATTGTTTTTAAATTTTTAACAACGAGTCATTAACAATTGCAATGGACCTAAAGTTTAAAAAATAGTTTGTGCAAAAAATTTAGCTATTTCAAGATGTGCTAGAAGAATAAAAAATGCATAAGAAGAGTCAGAGAAGATACCACAAATTACAAATTGGTCTATAGCACCCCCCTCCCCTGTGAATTATTATTGTGGTATAAAAGTTTAAGTACCTTCATGAAATTGCTAAAAAAAAGAGCATAGCATGATAAAAACCGCCTTAAACTTGATGAAAACGAAATTTTATCGTCTAAAAATGTTTAGAGAAAAGAAAAGACCAAAGTATTTTTTGATTATTTTAAAAAAATTTTGCATCTTTTTTAGAACATTCTAACTTTTGATTAAAAAAATCAAGTTTCTCTTTGCAAAAAGTGTCATTAAATAACATTGCAAATTTTAGTGCCTTTTTTGCAGTGACAAATTAATTTAGAAAATCTTTAAAAAAAAAAAAGAAAAAAAAGAAAGAAAAAAAACCTGTCAGATTTTAAATGAAACTTAGGATCTATTCACAAATGATTGAAATTATTTTATGTCTTTTATTTTGAAACTTATGGTAAAAATATATATATATTTATTTATTTATTTTTTTTGCATTTGTTACACCCCCTCAAACTAATTTTACGAAAACTAGAAATTCAATGCCGTGTTTTTTAATTTTAATGAATTAGTTACTAAGTTTTTAAGTTGGGGAGGGTTGTAGGTACCGCCATACTGTGATGAAAACTTTTATTTATCGTCAAAATCGTTGTTATTCAGAGGAAGAATCAAATTATTTTTTGATTATTTAAATTTTTTGCTCCTTTTTAGAACATTCTAAGTTTTGATTTTTAAAAAAACTTTTTTTTCTTGCGTCAGCGGTTGTAAATTTTTTTTTTTTTTTTAAGAATAAAGTTAACTTTCAAATTAGGGTTAGGTATTTTTTTTTCTTTTGTTATTCTTTTATTTGTCGATGTTTACATATATCTGAAAGTTAACTTTATTCTTAAATTAAGTACAAAAAAATCGCTTTACGGAAGCGCGTACTAATTTCTGAAAGAAAATAGTTCAGCAGTAAATGACGCTCGGTGTTAAAATGAAAATTTACCGTTGTAACTTTTTGGGGGCCTTGGTACAGCAAATTTTCGCCTTTTTTTTTTTTTTTGCGATGACACACATTTTGAAATTCTAGTAAAAATCAAATAACTCTTAGATTTAAATGAAATTTTCAGGACTTATTCGCAAATGAATTGAAAATCTTTTTTTTCTTTTTTATAGAAAATCTTGGTAAAATATTTTTTATTTTTTGTTTCCGCCCCTTAATTTTATTAAAACTTGAGAAATTAATCGAGATAATTTTTAG